ACATTATATTGATCACCATTCATGACTTTCCTCTTTCTTGGCGTCTTTTTAGTTTAATCACAACCACCAAGACCCCAAGGGGCAGGGGTGGGGGGGGGGGGAATTCTGGGAGTTGAAGTCCACTCATCTTAAAGTGGCCAAGTTTGGACAACACTGCCTTAGTATGTAACACTAGGTGGTTTTCCTACAATACGATGTTAATATGATATGATAAATACCCATCAGAAAATAAATGTTTCTTACTTAGAACAAAAGAAAAATATGAAATCCAGAGTGCTATGAAATGTGTGTGTGTTACATAAACAAGCTAGTTTTCTATAGTTATAAAAGAATCTATTGCTATATAGATATTTCTCAATTGCCTCCTGTGCCAGGGTCTGTCTTTATGATTTCTGTTTGCTGCTAGGTATCAGCCTAAAGAACAAAATGCTATAACCACTTCAGCTCTCCTTGGACATGGTTTAAAAGAGCTGAAAGAGGAAATTGAGACAAGAATTTTGAAAGGAACTGGGAAAAAAATTCTGACAATTAAAATTAATTTATCAGGACCTCAACTCAGGTCAGTGACAACTGCAGGCAAAGCAGGCAAATTAGAATCAAAACGCTACTTTTTAGAAACAGTTTGCTTTAGGTTCCCCTGAACCTTTAGAGAAGTTCAATATTACTTGCTGATCCAGCTTTTTTTTTCCTTGCTAAGCCCATTTAATATGTAAAAATATATTTTCTCCCTGTCAGTTTACTGGCTGTGCGTTTACACAAGTGCTGCCCTGCCAACAGCTAAAACCAAAGCTGCAGATATTATAGATAAGCTGCAGAAAAGAGCTTGTTGATTGTGCTGTGCTTGTGAACTGCTGTGTTTAAATGGGAGTGGGGAAAACGATGAGGAAAGACTTCCTTATGTTTGTTATACCCAATTTGTAGCAGCTACCCTTTCCCATATCTGTGGTGTGGTTTAGACAAAGCATATTTATTTATAAGTCACAAACCTCAGGAAACCCATTTCAAAAAGTCCTCCAAACCATCATTTCAAATCAAAATTGCGGGATTGCAATCCTGCTTTCAAGGATTTGAGTTTACAAAAGGAAAGAGAAAGATGTAAGCTCAGGATACATTTCTAATCCTCAAAACTATGGTACTTGTGATACTGTGATTGATAACGTTGTTTCTCTAGTATTGACACAAGAACCGTGTTGTATCATTGCAGTTGGCTCTACAAAGAAGCAGTAGTACAAGAAGTTGATGTTGTTCCTGAAGATAATACAGCTAAAGTAAAGGTCATCATAAGCGACTCTGCCTTGTGGAAATGCAAACGTCTGTTTCCTCAGTCTAGTTATTTGTCTTGAAAGTAACAACCTGCTTTGCTTTTGGGAGGAAGGTCCTCCAGCAAATTTTTTAAGAGACAAGAATACTGACTGCAGTTCAGTAGAGCTCCAACAACAGTGATGAGACTTCACAGATCAACAATGACTCCAGTGGACTTAAAAATTAACACGTGCTTATGTGAAAATGTTACTCGTGATACAAGGCTGTCCATTTTTCAACAGTGTGTTAGAGATGACAATGAGAAGAATGATGTGCCAGGACAGTTTTAAGATTTTGGTATAGGGTTACCTATGTGTGAAATTTATATTGAGTAGAGGTTGAGGTATGCTTAATGCTACAGAGTATCTTTATACTTGTAGGAGTATATATAGCTCAGTTGGCATTCTGCCAATTTTCTCTGAGTTTTGATTATGTGATGGGTGTTGATACTATAACATGTCATTTAGAGTCTCTTAATTTGTTGGAATAATATGTGATTGCTTCACATGAGTTGCAGATTCTTATATCTAAAAAATCTGTATTCTGGTGAAACAGAATAAGCAGCTCAACCCAGAATAACACAACTCAAATGGGAATTGCCAGGATAATATGCTGTATGCTTATCCACATAGGTTGGAGGTCTCAACGCATAATGTTACCCATTAGTTCAATTCTGTCTGTGGGCTACAGAATCGGTTGCTGTCTCTCCTGCTAAAGGTATTGTTCTGGAAGATTTTCAGAGCAAACGTCACAGCAAACAGTTACTCAGGATGATAGATCAGGAAAGTGGCAGGTAGGGTCCTATTCACGGTTGACTTCCTCTCCCTAATCCATCACCAATATCAGAGATATTACACAACCTCATAAACCTTAGCCTCAAAACCTCAAAACATCTTCCTTTCTTCAGCAGAGAGTTAAGTCCTGTTTTGCTTCCTTGTTCTTTCAGACAAAACTCCCAGGACAGTCCCTAGCTGGGGAGAACCAGGTTCTAGGCTACTCCCTCAGCCATGGAAACTATTGGGTGACTTTGGTTCAATCAGCCATTCTCAGTCTGATCTGTCTCACCATATTGTCAGATAAAATATGGAGATATGATGATGGGAAACCCCATGTAAACTATCTTCAGCTGGAAGAAGGATAAGCCATAAATCTAACTATTAATCATATTTAATTTACCAGTCTACTACTCAAGTCACTACCATCTCAACTTTGGGCATATCAAGATGTAACAGCCAATGTTTACTGATACATCAACATAAAGTCTAAAAATAAATATGGCAGTTTAGTACAGAAAGCCAGTGTCAGAACTTGAAAAAGTAAAACCATGCAAATAAATAAACGTTTAAAGATTAATTTATTTGTTCCTAACATAGTTCTTGTAAAAAAAACTGGGCCAGGTTAACGATGGCCCTTCTCAGCCTTAATTATCTGCCTTTTACTGTCAATATATGTACTGTCAATACATACGTAAGCTTTTTAGTATGCTCCTAAAATTCTTGTTAGAGGATAAGAGGGAACACAACCAACTTAGGGGTTTTTTCAGCTAAGAATATGAAACTAGAATACAGTCCTACAGTGGGGCAAAAAAGTATTTAGTCAGCCACCAATTGTGCAAGTTCTCCCACTTA